GCACTCAGGGGTCTTGTTACTCGGAGCGTTTTTATCGTCGCGAAAGTTTCTCTCTAGACGGACGTAGGAGTCGACGACTTTCGACTGCTTTAGAAATTTGACGAAGCGCACGAATGGCCTCAAAGATACGAGATGATCCCCGATGTGTAAAAAGATCCCATAAAAACTCCCCCTCGTGACTGGAATAAATGTCGATCGACTCGATTCTCCATAGTCAAGACATCCAAATTTATTTTTTTTTCCTCGAGTTTTAATGTTTCAGTGAGACTGGATTTTTGGAAACCTCTTGGAAGGCCCTTTAAATAAATATTCCCGGGTGGCGAATTAAGATGTTTATACCCGGGCATGAAAATAGAGGATGCCGGAAGTGAGGAAGAGAGTCAGCTGTTTTCCCCTTTTCTCGAGGATTCGCTCAAGTTCGTCGATCAATTCGTCCTGCCATATTTCTCCTTGGCATCTGCCCAAAACCGCTCGTAATACATAACAATTAAGGACGCCACCAACATGGCCCGCCATGTTCCTAACCCGGAACTAGGACGTCTTCCGACCCCGTCGTTTTACGATGGGGAGAAAAATGAAAATTCTCAAAGCGGGTCTGCGGTTCGCTCTTCATAGTTTTGGGACCCTTCCATATTAATGAAGACCTCCACCCTAGGAGGGTGATCGAGACCAGTCCGAGTTCATGAGATTCCGATCGACTAGGGAGCCCCTTCTCATAAATGTCGGAATTTCACCCTTTGGATAAAAATCCCTTCCTTTATCTCTACGCCGCATATCTTCCCGGGGAATATACGATCAGGTGGACTCTCCTCGGGAAGCTTTCGAAGCCTGGCTGGTTAAATTTCAGAAGCTCCGGCCATTTAAAATGATAAAATGCGTGCAATAAATTCCCACCTGTAGATCTTAAAAAGGATCTTGATATTAAAAAATGAAGGGTAAGATATAGTACCGTACCTTGGAAGCGGGATTAAAAAATGAGACCCTGAAAGGGGTGGTTGAAAGGTTAAAAAAGGAGGGCTTTCCATTTTGGATCTTCGGAAGCAGGAAAGAGTTCACCCGGTCATCCATTCGAGTAGCGGCCGCAAACGATGGCACTTAACCTCGGAGGTCGTTTTGTCTATTGACTTACGATATGGACTTCGTACTATGGGAACCATTCACCGATCATTCGATAGAAGGAATGGAGGGTCGAGTTCTTTCTTTGCCCCGCAAAGAGGATCCGAAAGAAGGAGAGAATGAGTACGCGAAAGCTCGCGATCCATAAATTACGAGGGCATGATAAAATATTAGAAAAATAACGAGAACCCTCTGCTCGGTCCCAGGAGGCAAAAATGAGTTTCGGCGAGATTTCACAAACGCTTCGAGCCACTTTGACCATCATTTTCATTCAGCTTTTGTCATTCCAAGCCTCCTTACGTCGGACGGACAAAAGGAGGACCATTTCGTTCTCGTCTGCCATTGATGGCGAAGTTAATGGGTCCATCCTGTTTTGGCCCAATTCTAACCGCCTAAGCCGTTCATAAAACCCCGTTGATTGGATCCTCCGAACTGGGCCTACAAAAAAATCAAGGACACGGGATAAGAATTCCGAAAGGAAACGTCGTCACGAGGAGTCCGGTCATGCGTCCTGGATTTTGGATCCGGAAGTCAAGATTCGCCAAACTGGTCGTTTGGTCTCAGTCCCTGGGATTTTATACCTTAACCTACCCCAATGTGTCATCTCTTACATGCACCAGCACCGTTTTAGGTGATGGTCGGATAAGACGCGAGGACTCTCATCCTCGTCCCGAGATTCGGCAAGATTGGCTCGACGTACACGCAGAAATCGCGTAACTTGGGCCATTTCTTCCCAGACAAGTCCGCGGCTGTAAAAGCTCGCTGATACGGTGCTTTCGCGCCAGTTCGAACAACTCCGGGTTCTTGGTCTTCCTCTTGGATCCAGAAAGGGACACCCGAAGGGAGATGAGCGATGGCGTCGTCCTAGCCCAATTCGTCAAGTTAAGCACGAAGGGCCCGCAACGTTTACAGCCAGCTCGACAAAATGGCTCTTAGAAAGAAAGGTATTTTCGCTGGAATTGCGAGCGTCGCCGAGGAGCTTGGTCCCGGAACTTCGGTACTTTTACGGCCGGGAATAAAACGGGACAACTGCGTCAATGAGATTATTTGCGGGCCCCGAGGGGGACCCCCGTTCGTTTGCATGGGACGTGTCCAAAAATCGGCGCCTTCGTCTCCCCTAGGAAATCTCCTAAGGATGATCGAGAACGTGTCCGGTAGAATGATGTCTTGCTTGTCCCCATGAAGTTACGAATCGGTAACCTAGGATTAAAATGCCTTATTTTTCATTTTTCTCCTTATTCCCCGTGTCTCCTCGACGAGGGATGGAGGTCCACCTATGAAAAGCTGCGAATGACGCTCCTTAATGGAACTTCTTGAATGGGGATTACTCGGCCGAGCTCCATTAGCGATCCTGGGAATCGTTTGACGAGGACGATCGGATCTGAAAATTCGAAAGGTCCGTTGAAAAGCGAGACAGACGCAAATAAACGAGTCGGGCAAAAAGTGTCACACATGCTGTTGGAGGCCCCAGCCAACCGAGCGTCCCACGTGCTGAGGTTCCCGTAATTACCGACTCGTCTTCGAATTTACCACCCTCCGTCATGGGAGGCGAATGTGGGAAAAGTGCTCTACTTTTTCTGGAAAATTGTCCCCCCTCCTATTGAAGGCTCGAATCGATTCGCGGTTCTTATCCTCATTTACATTACGAACTTTAATCCCGCCGGCTAAAGTTCAGTACGTGGGTTCGATTGGCTTTGGAATTTACCAATCACGCGGAAGGCATCAGCCACTGACTGCCTAATTGCAAACTAAATTCCGGCTGGTCGGCAAACTTTACTCCACCCAACTAGTTTTAACGAACTGGAACTGCGTTTTTGGATAGGTGACTACTCATGGAAAAATATAGAAATATATAAAAATCCATGAGAGAGAGAGACGTCAACTCACATTCGGGGCATGTGTGGTCCAACCGATTCACCCACGTGCAAGGGTCCCAACTTGATCTACCGCTTCCTTTACTATTAATGAACCGAAGAACCACTCCTTCCCTTTGAAGTGCCCCAACAGTAATTAAAGACAAATGTAGAGATTGCATTTCCGCTGAATTCATATAAAAAATAATACCATTAAATTCGGAATTATCAGGCTATCGTCTCTCGATTTTACTTATCTCGAGACGAAATCCGAAATTTTTTCTCGGCTCGCCTTCGGATTTCTCTGAAAATCCGTGTCGGTCGTTCTCAAAGCGCGTTGGTGTTTAATAACGTTGGGTTATAAAGGTTGTATAGGCGTGTGTACCAGTTATTCGCACACTCTCATGGTGCCCTCGTACGAGCCACTTTATACGGACTTTATTCCTACGTAGTTACCTACTCGAACGAAGAGCGCGGAACGATCGGATCTGGGATGTGGGTTGGAAGCTGTCCCTACATCCTTTTTAAAAATAATTACATTTTGTTACGGGCCTTCCGTGGGGGGAGAGACACGTCGAGCCAACGAAGGCGGTCAAGATATATATTTTTTTTTCCCAACAGGAAGGAGCGCCCGACTTTCGGCCTTTATTATTAATAATTACCTGCTTAATGGAACTCCATTGAATTCTGGGTACGGCTGGGCAAGAGCGGCCTTAGCCACTACAGTGATCCATTATCGACTTGTCAATTTTTTTTGCGCCACACAAGCGAACCTGTAAAATCCAAGTCGTATGGCAATAATTCGAGCAAAACTGATAATTAAGAAGGTATAATCGATACCTTTGATATCCGATATTCCGGATGCGTGATATACGTTTCTGCGTGCAGAGTCGTGCGGTCTGACGTATAGTCGGCGTCTGGTTATGAAAAAATTAAACGGGTTAGAGGTGATCTTATCACGTGGCATGACGGTGGTTAGGATCGACGGGTACAAGGAAGTACGTCGACGATGCTCGGGTCCCTAGGAAGCATTTATATCATTTGCTTTACCGTTTTCCGACAGCCGCGGGCAGGTACAAGCGCGTGGAAATTTAGGGGGATTTCCCTCAGCGTTAGGGAGCAAAATAGAAAATGTGGGAATAATAAACGACGAGGCAGACTCTTCTGACCTGTTTATGACTCCCCCTGTTAATATCTTCCCACGTGAGGGATCCGAGCGAGAAAAAAATGTCCCGAGCTCCCTGGATGGCCATTTTGCGAGGGCGTGTCATCCTTTCCTATCAGACACCTGCAGCTCGATGTTATCTCGCAATGAGAAAAAAAATTCTCACCTCCAAATATCGAGGCTTAAAATTGTATTCCATATGTCCCTCATTGTGTGGTTTAATAATTAGCATCAACCAAAATAGCCAATAACGGAAGGATGAGATCTAAGAGAAGAAGTACGTACACGTTTTCCTTTATTTTCGCAGACCCAAAGATTTCCGTAAATTTCCTGACCCGGACCATCCTTAACGTTCGCCAACCCTGAAGTGGTCACAAGAGGCCATTGGTCAATCCATGAAGAGGTCGAAATGGTTTACGGCACTGACTTTACAGCACTGTGGAGAGTGGCTTGGTCGGTACATGCTACAAGGTGGAGTTTTTCGTGTGGGTGAGTTATGCGTATATTTGTCATAATCTACGTCCCCACCATAACCAAGCAGAGCCATACCGTCCAATTAATCCAATTCTTCGACACGCTCCCTTCGGTTGCACCAAATCTCTCTTCCTCTCTCGACGGTAAACACCTAAATTGATATAATAGAATTTCATTAGGTATTATTTAAGGGGGGGGGGGAAAACTTGCACTTTGTTTGCGGAAAGTCTCTGATAAATGATCGATAGTAACGAGGGAATTGCGCAATTATTTTGGGGTCTTCTCCTTTGACCCTGGAATGGTCATCGAGTCCATCGGTCAGTCCATAAAGCGGTCAAAATGGTTTACAGCATTGACTTGGTGCACTGGAGATTGGCTTAGTCAGGGCGTCCTGCGAGTGTGGGTCATGGGTACGTTTGTCATCATCGAGGCGTCCCCACCCTGGGTGGAGGCGCGCCGTGGCAGCCACGATTTGACAGAATGTGCTCGGTAAGCAGTCCGGCGGTGACAGCGGCGGCGATCGCTCGGAGGTGCGCGAAATGACGGCATAGTCATTTGCTACCGTCATTTGCCGACCAGGGAACCAGAAACCAAGAACCAGGAAAACAGCTGATCGACAAGGAAACTCGGGGGCCAAGGAAAGATCGCCCACGGACTGCGGGAAAAATCCTGACAAAATTTTCCAATTTAATCCGCGTGGACGAAAAACTCCTCGTGCTGAAGTGATTACCAAAAGACAAGAGTCTACGATCATTATCATCGCGGTGGATTAATTAAACAAAAGGTCACGGAAATTACCTCCCGAATTTCCAGGAGGAAGACCCACCTGCTTGTTAAAGTTGCAAGAGCTATATCATACCTGAAGACGCTCGGCTGGCTATTTTTTTTTCAAATACGGGATTAATTTATTAATCTTTGGAATTAGCCCTAGAAATTATGAATTCATATTCGAGGGACGTTCCGAGGGCATGACTTGGACCGGGTTAACATCCGATTCGGTATCCGAGTCTTGAGGACGTCTGGTGACGAGATAACGATGTGAATGTAGGATCCAGAGAGTAGAGTGATTCGACGAGGCTGCGGATTGATAAGTAGATGCGTTCGGCGGGCTGCTGATACCGACCGATCCATTCATAGAAGAGATAACCGCTGAGATTAACTCTTCCCGCCGAGAGATTCTCCATCCTGCTGCATTTCTATGCGACGTGCTCCGATTTCCATGAAAGTTTGGAAGGGAGGAAAAACTGCCGGACAGGAAACTCGGCGCGACATCCTGATGGGCCTGCTGATAAGAATATAATTCCTTTAATTAAATAATCTACGGACTCGTTCGGTGTAGTTGTGAATTTCTTGCGACGCGGCTCCTTCTTGACATCCGGTTAGCATCGAGTCGAGCTGTTGGGTGGCGCCGGGCCATAGAAAAAAAAAAAAAAAGAAAAAGGGCATGGGGTTCTTAAGAAGGCCATAAACACCAACGTCACGCACTCGAGATCCACTCGAAAGCCAAACACGCGTCTTCGATAAAAGTCCGCGATTCTAAGTTGCCTGAGAATTTTCCTGAGAGGGCCCTCAAGAAATTCGAGTCGAGGGCGAATTCCCGGGAATTCTTCGTCGCCTATGCGTACTTCGAATTACGGATCCGCCATGAGACAGCGGGACCAGTGACGTCACGATTTAAAGGCCACAGGCGTGAGACTCGACTCGTCGCTTTTGACCCTGCTGACATACATGAGGCTGAACGAGGTGAGACCATTTCCGGATAAACAATAAATTGTTAATCCTTTTTATAGTCGAATTTCTAGCAACAATTCGTCACGTCTTCGCACGGCGAAATGTTGATCGGACGATGAAATTCAGGGTGTCATCGGTGACAAGGGTGAAACACCCGAAGAGAAGTGGAGGGGAAACTCCCTAGCGTGTTGTTCGTCCCGATCGAGTAAATAGTTAATTTGTTTATAGCCTGGCCGAGCGATGGAACGGACGATCAATTTTCTTAGCTCGACCTGTAGCTTCTTAATTCATGACCGCGTCTTTGACATCCGGAGTCACCTGGGTAATTTAATTACATCTCGTTATGAATTATGTACACGGCTTATTTTTATATACATTCATAATCTGTATTAGTAATCGCTTTAATGTTTGAATTAACCTTGGTGAGAGTTTCTAGTAAATTTATCCCACTTTTCGTGCAAATGTTACGCGTATGGCTGCGTTTCTCGCACCTACCTCGAGTTACAAGAGTGTAATTCAAACCGCGGCGTTAAACGGAGCATGAAATTTCAAGCACTGGTTTACTCTCTCAATTACCGTCCTGGTAACAACACGTGACGATTTATTCATCCTTTTTATGTGTCCTGGAAGACACGTTTCCATCGCTCTTCGCTCTCGATTTCAAGATCGACTGGGCTGATCTCGATCGGAAATCGGAGAACATTGACTCCATTTTCGAAGCCTCCACTCTCGGATATGAATTTAATATGCGGAGTCGAATTTTAATATGGCGTCGTTGACAGTTTTATGTCTCGGCTCCAGACGCCCATCCTAAAAACTCTGTCGACATGAATTACTTGAGCACCGTGCACTCAATGACTCGTTACTGGAGAAGATTTCTTTTTTTATCAGAGGATATCTCTATATGGGTCGTCGAAGTGTTATCGCAAAAAAAGAGTCGCTAATTACTGCAAACTGTCGGCTTAATATGTCGGACTGCACATATTCCGAATTCATTAAGATGACAAAACCTCAGGAATTGAAGAAAGTGTCACGAGATCACATTACACAATTGCACCGTCTGAAATCACGTAGGAAAAAAAAAGAAAAAATAATTACAAGCCGATTAACCGTGGGCGACATCAACATGTTTGGACCGAGATATGGTAGCAACATCGAAGTCGACTTTTCGAGATGAACAATTCTGGCAGGAAATTAATCCCGACCCTAGAGAATTTTCTGTCCATACGGGCTTTGCCTAGAGGTCCTAAATTGACAACGTCCAATAATATTTCCAATAGCGCCCGTATTGTTAAAAAGAAAAAAAAAATAATGGAAACCCTCCATGGAAATCATCCCATGGTGGTCGTATATAGATTCGGGATAAATTCGTTCCCACGAATGAAATGCACCCTTGGATAAAAATGTATAAACGAAAAATCAAATACTCGAGTGTATGTAAATTAGGAAATAAATAAATCAGTGAGTGAGTAAATAAATTAAGTAATTAAGCAAGTGTTAAGTCGATACTCGGATTTTTTTCCTGCGAACGGAAACGGTCCCACGTGCACGGTAGGCGTACTTTCTCGATTGTTTATTACGAAGATGCAATAGATATGCAAGTACGCTGCGGTTGTACGGTGACGATGGCGCAGGTGTGCACGTATGTCGCAACATCGTGCTCTTTTATGTACAGTTCCTCTCTATCTGCATTGTCGAGGAGGTAACGAGGTAAAACCAGGTGGTCGGTGGCTCGACAAAAGGAAAAGATCGGATCGAGATATTCCGAGTTGGTCCTGGAGTCGGATGATTCATTGAAAAAAGAATGACAAAAGGTGAATACGTGCCGCAGGGACGAATGGGTAAAAATTGGACAACGACAATAGAGGCCCCCGTATCGGTACTCCATTTGTTGTGTACCCGCGTAGTATACTTTCACTGTGAGTCAAGTTCTTAGTCACTCATCGCCATTCACGTGATTAACTCGGAAATCATTCAATGACGTCAACGTGGCCAGGAATTCCACTTTGCGCGATCGCGATTCACCGTCACGTGGAGTACCTGTTCTTTTTGGAACCGAATGAGAAAAAGATGCCGACCGGTCGTCGTCATCGGTTCCGGAAAAGTGACGGAATTTCCATCCACGTGGGAAGAGCCTTCGAGCCGTCCAGTTTCTCTTAGAAAATTTCAATAAGCTCGGAGAAACTCGTTCGCTCGATTTCGGTAGCCGGCGCCATATTGGAAAATATGTATTCAGGATATTACTCGATAGAAAGAAAAATTCAACTAGGGAGGAGATTATTTCCAAGTGCAAGAAAAATGAATCTGTGACCTCGGATAGTAATATCCGAAGTTTATACCGAGTATTGACATTTCTCTATGCCCCATACCGAACGTATTACTTATCACTTCCTATCGTTCTATCGCAATATCAATACTTGAAGGTACACCTTTCGACACACTTTTTTGGGTACCTCCGAAAATATACCTTATCCTGATTAAAATCTATCTTATCGTCACGCCGATAACGCGTCTTCCGGACGGTTGATACTGTACGCTTATTTCTCTCGTTAACTGCAATTCAATTTAATTAGGTCGAGCCTTGACCTTTTTGCTGTTCTTTTTTGCCACTTTTTGGAAGTGGGAAGGGATTTCGGTGGAATAAAGTGTTACAGGAAAGCATTAACCACGTGTCGGTCGAGAGTGGCTGGCGCATCCATGGCGCCCATGGCGCCCATTAATGCGCTCTAAAACTGCACTCGACGTTGCAATTGTAATGTCCTCTTTGTCGGTGGTTGCGGAGTCCTCGGTACATACACAAGTTCCCAGTCAACGTTCCCATGGCTCTACTTTCATGGAGTTTTTTCTCGACGCCGGGGAGAACGACACGTTCACCGGGTGTTCGTTAATTTTTCTTAATTAAGTTCAATCGAGGTTAATACATCGCTGTTTAACCCTAGTTTACCAAATCCAGCACCCCCATGTACCGACCGCAGCTCGACGCAGAGGCTGATGCAGGAGGGTCTTGCACTTCTGAAATTAAACGACCGACGTGAATTCCAGACCCTGAAGAGATTAACAAAAATGCAAGAATCTTCGCCGAATGAAATTTTCTCCGGGGTGAAGAAAAAAAATAAAATAAAAAATATATGAAGAAATTTAAGATTACCGGGATAGTAGGAGGAAGCCTGTCTAATCACCTTGCGGACGATGGACCAAGGAGGACGCCTTTTAAAGCCGGTTTCACCTTGTGGGATTCTTCAGGAAATGACGAAACCTGCACACGAGTCGCCGACGTTGCAACTAGTTTATTGGCGGTGTAGGGAATGCTAAAGGAATATTTTTCCAAGGAACGCTCCCTGGCATTACTCACTCCTCTATGGCGATATTTATCATCGGCGAGAATGTCCAGTTCCTCGAATAATTAGCCTCGACATTGAACTTCCCCTTGCGCGTGCGCCTTAGCCTCCGATTTCATGACGAGATTATAATAAAACGTAGAGAAATTTCTACAGAGATCCAAGATGAGCCTCGACTATCGATTTCGACATTCCACAAGTGTCGGAGGTCGTTCCATAGGATATGCTCTCATTGCAGCGTTAACAGCTGTAAAATCACAGTAATTAGATTACTCCATTGGCTCGTCCCACGTGTTCTCGGGAGAATCGCGAGTTCGGTCACTCTAGACACCTCCAGACTGGACGATTCTCCTAAAGCACCTTATCGCGATTATTTCCACCGATATCGAGGTAGATATTAAAATAAGATATACATCTTCAACCCGACTTTGCTTCTCCCTCTCCAAGGAATTGGAAAAGAACGAAACGTTTCAGTGATAACTCCGATGTATCACTCGACACGGATCCATTTGACAATAGATAACCCCTTGGTTCCGTCACTGATCCGGCGTTGCATCGATTTGGAAATAATAATATTGATTATAGTAATAATACAAATTCTGTACCCGGTAAGAATGGAGGAGACACAGTTGAAATTTAATTTCTCAACCTGGATCGGTCTTTCAGATGACAGGAGGCGAGCAGTCATTCGGCATGGAGTCCGCGACCACGTGGCTGCCCCACGTGGACGACTCGAACCACAGCACCATCATTGACGGCGAGTTTTCAAGGTATAATAAAAGTAGCTTCCTAGATAGCTTCCCAAGGATCTCCGCGTAAAAGGAGTCGGCGAGGCCACAGAGGTACCGTGTTTTCCTTGTGGTCGGCGAAGTTGCACTTTCCGGGGAAACCGACGACCGTAGCTCGGCATTTGGCCGCGAATGGTCAAACTTCCGAGCCGGAGAACAGGGAGGGCGATTTGTCCAGCAATTCCGAGCCATAATTGCAGCCGGTAGTGTGTCGCTAACGAGGAGACTGCCTTCGACCGACTGTCGTTCCCTTTATTGGCCCTGTTGAGGGCCAATTGAAGAGAACCTCCATAGCCGCCCTTCGCCTGGAACAGCTAGAAAGTCGCCCTGGGTCGCATCACCTAAAATTAAATTCTTCACGAATTACCTTTACCAGGGGAAATTTTTTGGAAAGTCGATCCAAGGATGTAAAAATAAAATGCCACCTCTGACGGTAGTAGGGGTGGAATTAATTATGGGGAAAATATGTTTATTCCTATCTCGTTGGGTGCAATCTGGATTTCAAGGGTCTCGATGTCCTTTAGATTTTCAAAGCCTTTGAGGACCTTTGCGGCAGTCCTTGCCATCCTGATAATGATTGTCGGCCTCCTGGGGAACCTGTTGACCATCATCGCTCTTTGCAAGTACCCCAAGGTGCGCAACGTGGCGGCTGCTTTTATAATAAGGTAAAGCTTCATTGTCTATATTTATCTATACGTTAAATCGAGGGCTCCCGATACTTTAATGGGAAAGCTGGGGAAGCGTCTCTCGTATTTTCATTAGCCCTGGTCAAGGGTCGTAAGCCCGTGAAATTTATTTCCCACAATCCCCGGAATTCAATTTCAACAAGGTGGACCAGGAACCATGGAAGCTCGTATAGAATAGAAAGTACAGAGCTCGTTCCACCTTGGTCGGACATTTTGGAGTGAATTCCGCTTTCGTCCTTCTACCCGTGATTCGTAAATTCTTGGCTCCCTCGCCGCTCTGTTTCACCTACGTCCTGATTTTTATTTCTATTCCCTACTTCCGAGGAGTGGATACTTTCGGTCTCTCCTTCCGATCGGTGGATCGAAAATGCTAAAGTCCTTTAAATCTTCCAGTCTCTGCGTGGCGGATTTCATTTTCTGCCTGCTGGTGCTGCCTTTCGACTCGATCAGATTCATCGATGCCAGTTGGGCGGACATAAGGTTCCTCTGCGTCCTCGTGCCCTTCCTGAGGTACGGAAACGTCGGCGTCAGTCTGCTCTCCGTCGCCGCCATTACGGTGAACAGGTACGCTCCCTTATTACCGTCCAAAAAATGCATAAAAATGATTAGACGCTTCCATATCACCCACCCAACATATTAAAAATCCACGTCGCCTTTGAAATCACCCGAACGTCTTATCACCTCTTATCAGGTACATCATGATAGCCCATCACGGGATATACAACCGCGTCTACAAAAAACACTGGATCGCCCTGATGATGGTGTTCTGTTGGCTCTTCTCCTATGGGATGCAGGTGCCCACGTTGACCGGCACCTGGGGTAAGTTTAAATAGGAAATAAATCGTCGTTACTATTTTTCATAAAACTTTGTCTTACCATAGAATCACTTACATAACCTGGATTTTATATTCAGGCAGGTTCGCCTACGACCCCAACCTCGAGACATGCTCCATCGTGAAGGACGAAAGAGGCTACACCTCGAAGGCCTTCCTCTTCGTCACCGGCTTCGTGATCCCCTGCATAATAATCGTGGGGTGTTACGCCAAAATCTTCTGGGTCGTGCACAGGTAATTCCGGGGATCCACTTTGGGAATAGCAATAATACCTGTCCCAGGTTTCGATTCCTCATTCCCCACGTGTGCCGTTGCAGCTCCGAAACCCGAATGCGAAAGCACGCGACACCTTCCGTGAAATCACCCCACACACCAGGACGTGACATTCGGGAGATGAAGCAGAGAAGAAGCGAGTGGAGGATCACCAAAATGGTCCTGGCGATTTTCCTCAGCTTCGTCGCCTGCTACCTGCCGATCACGATCGTGAAGGTAGCCGACCCCGAAGTGAAGTATCCTGGTGAGAACTCCGAAGAAACATAAATTATTCCTAATAGATAGAAATTAGGATTTTCAAGGCTTAAAAGAAAAATCATACGCCCTATTCGCGGGGAATTTCCTGAGTACGTTTAACTTGACACTTTGAGGTGAAAAGATTTTTTTAGGGATATTGAATTCAATCTGGCTCGACGAGGAATTCCTTATCATAAAACCTGGCACCCTGCCACCCACTTAGGTCGAGTTGGAACGGTTTTCGTATGATTTTAGAATTTCACGTAATGGGCTACCTGTTGCTCTACTTCGCCTCGTGCGTCAACCCGATAATTTACGTGATCATGAACAAGCAATACCGACAGGCGTACGCCGGGGTGATCAGCTGTTCGCGAATCAGGGCGAGCCTCACCCCACATGGTAGCAGCGCACCAGCCCAAAACTTCGGCCAAGGTAACCAACGCATCGTTATGGTCACCAAACTCTGACCTAAACGAAACCCAGCTAGCGTACCTTCGTAAGTGATGGGCAGAAGATGGTTTCTAAGATTGGGCCTGGCATGACGGTCTGTCGCGGGATTTTAATAAGCAACCCTGGAGGGGCCAATCCCCAAGAAAAGGAAAAGCATCGACGAGCTTGCACATTTCCGTGATAACGCAATTTTCCACAGATAACGACGAGAGGGTTCATTAAGAGAGCCTAAGTCCCATAAATGGATAAGGCCTGATTAGTTTGCGATACTCTTCTAATTGTTCCCTAACGAGGGCTACTTTCGGGAAAAACGGAAAATTAATTAGCGAATGGGCGATGCTTTTCACGATTTAGTATCAGTCCTGAGATTGGTCTTGGACGATTTAAGAGTTTTAAGGGTTGATTGAAGTTTCTGCATTTTTCTTTATTTTTTTTTTTTACATATCCGATCGACTCCCCATTTGTCTTATCAGTGGGAGGAGATGGGGGAGCGATTGACAGAGTTTCTTAGGGATCTCGAAAATCGAAATTTCTTCCACAGGAGCGTTACTGGCATTAACATATTTTTTCAGGGGTGGCCGATGCGAGCTAGATATCGAACGCACTCTTTACTACTAACGCGGACGGATGATAGCATGTAAGAGCGCGGCGATACGAGCTAGGTACTAATTGACTCCTAATTTACAATCCAAATTACTCGGCTAAGTCGCACCGACCCAATTAACACCCTGAAACGTCCGCATCGCCGACATTAACTTAGTGATAAGAGTTATTTGCATTGTAATATACCGTGATAGTACCTGTACTAATATTCCAGGCTAACGCAATGGTGGAACCACTTGTACATAGGGCTTACACCGTAACTACACACGTGCTTTTGGGTTTCGCTCTTCATTACATATAATCCATTTCAAGCTTACGAATCTTCGCTTTAACGCGTGGGGAAGAATACTTGGGGAGAAGATATGAAATTGTGGTGAAAATACTTTGAAAACATTTTTTTTTTATCTTAATTTTATTCATTACTCTCTGTCATTAGTTTTTCATCCGAGGCCCTTTTCTCCGCATAAACGGGAATTGTAATTGTTCGCATTTGTGATGTAATCGGGTTATCAGTGTTTCCGGTATCCATCATAACGTGGGGAAATAATTTATTTCCGGGAAAGTTTAATTCCGAGGTTTATTTATTGACTTCATCTCTGGATATTACATGATCGATTTCGAGGGGAAGAGGGCACCTCTTTGGGATCGCCATTTTCCAGCGATCTTAGATTCGAGTACTCCAGACCTCGTAATTTCCAGGTTTGAAATTTTACGTCAAGACTTTCGAGGAGACTACTCTCGTCCTTTTATCGCGGGTAAAAGATTTTACGGGGTCAGGAAGATACTAGGCGACGAGTCCTTAGCGGATCAAAAGTTCGAGGGCATAATCTGAATAATTACGGAGCCGCCATTTTGTATGAGTACGTCGAAGAACTACATGTACATATTTTTAACGTTCCCCCCGTAGCCGTGTTCCCATTCCTAACCAATTTTTACTTAAAAAAGAATGCTTAACGCCGCCAGGGAAATGTTTAATCCCATATCTTCTGCCTCTTCCAGACTTGTCGAAGGACTACAGCAAGACTATGGTGTCCACGGTGTCGATCGCCATGAACCCCGTGAGAAGTTCCGAGTTCGAGGACGTTTTGTGAAAACGAGCGAAGAGAGTGAAAGTATATATACATAAAATCATCGACAGAGAGGCGAGAAAATCCCGCGGGTACAAGTGTCTCCATATACCTAGACGGAATCCCTAGCTTATAGGATTATTTATTTATTGTTCCGGAGGAAATCAGGCGATCGTCTCGAGTCTGCGACCCTCTTCGACGCCGCGGTTCGATTTCCTTCCCGAAAGCGCGATCGGCGACAAGAGGCCAAGTTTGAGGTCATCTTCTTGCGTCCCGCTTTCGAGGCGGACGCTTTGCGACGCCCTCGACGAAAGATCCGTCGCAAAGCGTCCATTATCAGTCGGCGACCAAAGATAGGAGCGCAAGCGTGTAAATAAGAGTTAAACCTACGACGTTTTTAATATCTTACACCGAGAGTTATCATACGCCATGTAGATACGTGTAAATTTATCGAAGTCCCGCGTACATGTAAACGTCTCTACGAAATATATGAAAGAAAAGAGAAGAAGAAAGACTCCTTTGGAGTCTGCGTCTTCTGTTAAGACTCCCCTTATCGCTCGAATGTACGTATACATGCACTTACGTCCTACGGCCAGATTGGCCGTTTCCAAGTTACCGTGTTAAATTAAATTCACTATGAAATTCACTATGTTATTTACCCGCAACGAACGGACTCGTTACTTAGCCATTGCGTATGGGTTGCGATCCTCGCTTGGCGAGTGGACATCTTTGGACAATTATCGAGCCGTCTCGCGCGGTTAGGAACGCGATACAATGTACAATGCACTATCGGGAGTCATTATCGAGAATGCCCCGATACGTGGCGTTTACGTTTGCACCGTTTGCATAAATCAGTCGGGCAGGATATAGCGGGAAACTGCCTCGGAGTCCCTCAGGACTTGCAGCATCCGGTCTTCTCCTTGGCCAGGGGTGCATCTCTCAGCTTTATGGAGTCCCGTATTTCGTCCTGTATCTTCGCCTTCAGCACGTTCTCCACTAAGTACAGCATCGCGTTGTCTGGGGAGAAAATTCATTCCTGGTGATCCCGATTAACAAATTCCCTCGTTTGTAAATTACGGAAGCTAATTGGAGGGAAGGGCATTTTACTCGACACCGAAAATCTGTCGCTTCGATATCGGTCTCGTTTACCGATGTTATGGTTCTCCTTTGCCGATGTGATGTACCACGAGCCGATTTCGTTCTCCTTGCAGAACTTGATGATCGGCTCGGTCGTAATGGCGACCTGCTGGATGTCGCCTTTATTTGCCAAAAGGACGACCGGTATGTTCGAGCCATCGGGTAGCGTGACTTTCTCCCGAAGATCGCTCAGCCATTTCTTCACCGATTGGAATGTCGCCGCTCTCGAGATATCGAACACCAAGGCGGCAGCGACTCTAAAAGGCGCAAAAAACATTAATAAATCGCACATCGGTTTTGCATGCCCGGTACTTAAGTGCAGTAATCCGCGTAAAAAAAAAAAACGATTTAAAAAGACTAGTAGAAGCGAAATAATAGTGATATTTACGCATATTTATAGTAAACCCTGGTCATGTACCCGAACCTCTCGTGCCCAGCAATGTCCCTAGAATGGAAACCCGACGATCAGCCACTGCAAACAGAGTATAATAAATCGAAAAAAAAATATCCTCTTCCGCAAGGCAGTTCGTAGAGAGTCGAAAAAGCATCGTCAGGTCCTCCAGATATTCCCGAGAACCGCGAGAGTCGATTTCCTCGGTAGTATTTATTTCTGGGGAATTTAGAATTATTTTTTCAGTAGATATCTCGAGAAGAGAGAGACTCCAAACCTCCTACCTTGCGGGCACGGGAAGATCGAGTGATATGACAAAAGTATACCATAGCTGTATGTTTATTTTCGTGTGGGGGTCCCAATCGAGCGTTTTTACCGCGAAATCGGCTCCTATGGTAATCTTGTAGTTCGAGGAGAATTTCCCTGGAAGAAGAGAAATTTAGAGAGATATCGAGCTTTCGTGAAAATCCCGGAACGTTTGTCTTCCCTCGGTCTTGATACGCTTGTCTTTTCTGGCCCAGTTAAGCCGTTTCGCCGGGAAATGTACTTAAGGCACTAATGGAGATTACCTTGAGCCTCTTAGGAGTAATGTTATGCTTAACTGCAGAAGCGAGGTGAGAAGAAAAAAAAAAAATCCGACAATCGTCAGGGATGTCGCAATGAGAACAGCGAAAAACCGATTTTCATTTCCATTCCGACTGATAAATGAATTCTTTGAATTAATGAACCATCCGGAGACCTGCAACGCGATAAAAGCTTATCGCCAGCGATAGGTGTAATATGACAGCGCAAACTATCACAAATCATCCGATCGCTTTTGAACCGCTTTATCGCCATTTTGTGCAGCTCGGATTATCATTCGGAATCGAATGACATCTTTTTAATTTGCATCGAGTGCACTTGGGATTTTCACTGCCAAGAGGTCGAGTAAAGTGTAATTATTCCTATTGAGGCTGTGTAAAAAAAATATAGGACGGATAATTAATCTTTATCGCTCACCCTCGGTGTATCTCCTAACAATTGCTGTTTTCCCTGAAAGCAGACAAAATGAATTTTCCTCATTTGACAACACGAATGTTTTGTCTAGTTCCTCGTAATTTCTGTATGTTCCTTATGTTAATTCCGAGGAAATGAAAATAATTGTAAGGATATTGTTCAATTTTGAGGAGCGTACGCACGTTTAGCGAAAACTGCGAGGATCCATATCAAGCGAGCGGTAAATGAGTTCAGAGAAGTCCGAGAGTGTTATCATAAACATATCTCAGGTGTCAATAACGGGAGCATTGACCTTGCCGAATTGAAACAAATAACTGCCTTATCACGCATAAACGCGGCGGTATCAGGGCAAGACCCCGCGAGATTATTCCGACACGAGCGAGAATTAGCGAAGGTGTTCCTCCAACAAAGGACATGCCACCTACAATAGAGATAGCGTTAAAGTGACATCGCGATATCTCCCACGTTCGTGACCACCTGCGCATACTTTATCACCGGCTCGCTTATTTCCATGAAGCATAATCCATGGATTTACTCCGATATTCGCGACATAATGCACGGCAAAATTTTGAAATAAACGCGACTAAGACTCAAATCATGAATAAATTAACATTCCACAAGGCGCCATTAACATTGCGGGATTTTTACTCATTAACCACTCGCACGTGTTTTGCCACTGGTTGATTCAATTTTTCATATTTTAATTATTTAGGGAACTAAGTTATATAGTGTTAAGTAGGGACAACTGGAGGGCTGGAGCTTTTCACTTCCGCTGGGGGTGAGAGGTCTGGCGAGTCTCACCGACTCCGTAATCGCCGATGATCAGGAACTTGAAGAGCAGGTCCTTGTGGCTGGAATTCGAGAGGACGACGTCCGAGTCACGGCGCGACCGGCGAAAGCTCATCTCGCGAGGCGTCGAGTTCTCCTCGCGTCGCGGCGACGTTTAAGGTTTGAAATCCGTGCACGACGTACACCGCGAGCGATCATGTCGCCGCGGCAAATGATAAGCCCTATCGGCTGGCACGACGCGTGCGCCCCCGTAGAATCTCGGCTCGTAAATGGGCGAAGCTCAAAGTTCAAATCCGGAACTTCACGGTTCATAGCCGCCCTTCGCGATGAACTTCCGCCAATTGGGGCGCAGCTTCTCCCCACTAGCTGAGTTCTCGAATGAACGTGGAGTTCTGGAACAAGGATGATAATTAGAAGGATACTTACTACCAAGCCTCTGAGATAAAATATTTTTACAGCGTAGGGTTCATGTGTAACCCCTAGTATAGTAAGAGTAGAGGGTTCACCAGACGCATGGTGACAACTAAGAGTTGTTCACAGTCCATGGGTGTTCATTTCCAGTTGTTTCTACGGGGGATGCGGCTCCATTTTCCTATTTGCTTTTCAAAGCGAAGGGACGTACCAATCCGTGGGTTCTGATCTTGTAGATGAACCTGGAAACGGGAAAAGAAAGAGGAGATGAAGAGAGAATGAGTTTTTAGTTCCCGGAGTAACTTCGTAAGGACCATATTCAAATGCCCGGTTGTGGAAATGGGATCCTTATCACGCAGCCAATTTATTCTCGGATTACAAAAGTTGGAACAACGGATCTCATGATATGCGGATGCCCATTTCTGTAAACTTAGGCTCGCGATGTCTTTTAAAATTGATGGATAATGCAATTACCCGGTAATAAGCAAGTAATCCTCGCGCAGCATCTGAAGTTAACATTTTACCAAAAGGTTAACGTTCGACGATAACTCGTATCGGTCGGTACAGGTCCTCTTCATGAATAAATTCGGCGTAGTAGTTCGCCTGGAAGAGAAAATCCAGGAAGAGGTCGCCACGCTCAGGAAGCCATTCTCGATGCACAATCTAAGACAAACAGCTTAATTAAAATAAAGAATCTCGATGAAAAAATAAAATCCTGCATCCCTCGCACCTTAAACTATATTCCATCATTAATTCTCTTCGCAAACTCACCGCATAAAGAACATCCTTCGCGTCTCCACATCCCAGCCTAGAAATTTCTAATTTCCATGCTGACGCATGCGAAGTGACGTGATGTATTTTTTGTTTGTTTTTTAAAACCTGTTTTGCGGCTACCTGCAGTGGCCCGTAAAGTTCATCCCGTAAAATGGACGATTACCAAGTTGCTTATATTTTTTTCCTCTCTCGATTAATTTTGTACACCTGTTGTATATAGTAGAATAGTATTGTTAATAAACGGAGTTCATCGAGTAGCGCGTTGATTTTTTACGAATATTAGTTCCTTTTTGAATCGAGTGGTTTCGTTATTCGGCGCAATTCGGCGTTGGACGCGTCGGTAAGGTAGAGCGGTGTCATGGCGGCGGAACAATGACAGAGAAGCCAGTGTTCGGAGAGGAACAGACCGTGCCAGTCAGGATGTGGAGTATAATCCGTTCCTTCAAGTTTATCGCAGTGGGGCTGATGATCGTCCTCCTCATCGTGCAAAACGCCATGTGTGAGTACCGTCAATTTTCGAGATTTACGGCGAGCCTCGGCCCGGTCAGAAGGCGTACCTTCCCCACATACGACGGCGCACCCCGTCCGCGCATGTCGGCGCGAAAATTTGACTCGACTCGGCGTCACCCTCAATGTCTCCCGATTTCAGATCACCGAAAGGCCCAAGAGTTGCAAAAATTCACGGAGACGATTAAGCGAACCGTCCTCGACATGTACAATAATTCGAGGAACTTGAACTCGTCCCTGAAAATGGAGCAGTTAGACTCGAATTACAAGGTGACTATTTATGCCATTACCCCTACGTTTTCGAGGCCGGTGCAAAAAGCGGAACTAACAAGACTGGCGCAAGCTTTCATGCAAGTGTTCAATTTTCACTGGATAGTGGTGGAAGACTCCTGGAAAAGAACGAAATTGGTGACGAATTTCCTGAAGAACAGCGGCCTGAGATACACGCATCTTGCCGTGCCCACTCCTCCCAGCTATAAACTGGGAAAGAGCGATCCTAACTGGAAGAAGCCTCGTGGAGTGGAACAGCGAAATGCAGGACTGCAATGGCTCAGGGAAAACCTGACTGAATTTCACGACGGCGTCGTTTATTTCGCCGACGATGACAATACGTACTCGTTGATGCTGTTTCGAGAGGTGAGGCCCATAAAAGCAGATGCAGATTATGTAGATCATGGCCGCGCAGATTATCGGAGTCTCCGGCCGAGTGTCCTTGACGTGCACGATTTTATACCGTAATTTCAGCGATGCACCGAGTGTATTCACTTCCGGTCCTCCTTATAGACTACATTGGACATGTAGTAATTCATATTGTCTGGATCTACTGATTATTCCATTTTTTACAGATGAGGAAAATCAAGACCGTCGGGGTTTGGCCGGTGGGCTTGGTCGGCGGCCTCGCCGTTGAAAGGCCAATTTGTGACAATGCAACTGGCAAGGTTGTCGGGTTTAATGCAGTCTGGAAACCTGATCGTCCATTTCCTCTGGACATGGCGGGATTCGCGATCAATCTTAAATTGATTTTGGAGAACAAGGACGCGTACTTCTCTTATGAGGTGCAGGGTGGTTATCAGGAGAGCGAGATACTTCGGCAGATAGTCACCAGGGATCGCCTGGAACCGCTGGCTGATTGTTGTACAAAGGTACTGTTTATTTAGAGGGTCAAGCACACCTAGCTGCGATTTATAATATTTCTTCCTCATGTAATATTCTCTTTTTCATCAGGTCTACGTCTGGCACACGCGAACGGAGCCGCCTCAGCTGCACACCGAGCAACTGCTGATAAGGAAAGGGAAGCCTTCGAATGCAGGAATTGAAGTGTGATAAATCAACTCCAGCGAAGCTTAAAGATTCCACTTTAGATCGAGCTAAGTCGAGCTCGTTTACTAAGGAAACACCAGTGCCATGGATTATTTTCGTAGAGCGCTTTTGCATCTCATCCTCGTTACGGGTTTGATATATCTCGGACGGATCCTCAAATAAATTGCGGCACTTGTCCGGGGATAATCCCCAGTGTAATTCAGAAATGTAGGAATAAGTTCGCGTACTTGATATACTCCCGAATTGTAGGCGTAAAATCTTTTTTGTTCTTACGCCGCTTACTTGCTATTAAACATTTTTTGTACGTACAATGTCTCGTCCTGTTATTGGATTCACAGATAATGCCCCGGCCGTTTCTCCTGTTTTTCTTTCGTTTTATTGACGCCACTTTCTTTCCTCGCATACAGAAAAAGCATACATAAAAAATATGCCTTATGTCTAGAAAACTTGTATAATACGTGTCGCAATCTTCGCAACTCCTTTACTTTTTTTTCCCTTCTTTCATTTAAACTGGAAGATGCGCGATAATACTTTTCACGGGAAGCTACGTGGGTGTCTCGTGAATCTTGGCAACGGATACAAAATAGCTGTGTTCCTGTCTCGATCGAATAGATCTTTTTTTTTCTTTTTCTTCTTTTTTTTTTTTTCCACGCGATCCGAGTAATACACCGACATACATACCGATCACATTCTCGAAATAGGGACTCTCACATTTAACGTATCCCAACTTACGCGCTAAGTAAGTACTATTATATTTGGCAAAACGTTTTTCCTCGTCACGTTACGTAAAAAAGCTACACGCGCGGGAAAGACGCTCGTGCCCATCTAAATTGCTCATGTTAGCCACGCCATTTTATGAAAATTTATATTAACAATATTCCGAGGACATCGGACCGATGAAAACGGAAAAATCCTCGAAGTCCGTCGAATTACGAATTAAGGAGAACGGAACGGCGAAACAATAATAAATAACTATCTCCATTAGACGCAGTGTTATTTAGAGGATGATTGGCATTATTCCGCATAACGCTCTGTTTTTTGTCAAGTATTCGCAAAAACTGAGAATTGCAGGATATCAGAATTGATTTTTGCTTGTCTCTTTTTTTTTCTTTCTTTTCGCACGACCGAATCTCCTGCGCTCGCGTACAACGCCTACTTATAATCGGGACTATTCCCTAAGCTTAAATCCAACACTTCTTAAAGATTACGGGGAAACGTTAATAAGCATTTACAAAAACTTATCACATTCTTTTTTAACCGCATTTTTGCAAGATACCCTCTTACGTACTAGAGAGTAAGTGACGCTTCCCTAAATCCACCCACTGGGAGGAATGAAACATTTCGAGACTTTCGCGTGAGGAAAGTAGGAAATACATTCTTTTTTTCCTCTTTTGGGTAAATCGAGATAAACCTGCCAAGAGGTTCCAACGAGGTGGGAAAGCTCGAATAAAGAATTGTCACGACGGATACAAAAATGCTACTCTGCCTTCGATTACGCTATACATGTACATATCTAGAGAGATTTTCATTCTTAATATCAAAGTTCGGGGGACCGCTTTCCGAAATTTCCAAAGGGGGAAATTTTTTTTCGACACCTGCAAATACCGAAAATACAAGCAATGATAATTTCGCTTCGAGAACAACGTCGTTACATTGTGGAGAAAGATGTAAATCGACGCAAGATGTCGGAAAAGAAGAGAGAGAAAAGAGGAATTTCTTTCGGAAATTTCAGAAAGCTCCCCCCATCCGCGGTTCGAAATATCTTATCATCGTATCTTGAACGTACTTTTGTCGAAGCTTATCGGCTGTACTAAGATTACAATCTAGAAAGGTGGTCTGCAAAGACTGGTCAAGTGTAAAGAGTCGATTTGCCTCCTCGAGTCTCTTCCCCGTTCAAGAGAAGCGATTCATCAAACCGAGACCAGTCTCCGCAAAAATGACTTAACTTCGAGCTTTACCAATATACACGACCGAGTTATGAGTACTTAACGCCTACCGCTTGTCCCTTCGTCAACGGAAAAATGTCAATGTACATATGTCACCAGGGAGATCCGCGACCGGCGACAGCGCATAGAAACTAAGAAGAGGTTCCCAGGACATTTTCCAAGGCCGAATCGAGAACGCGAAGAAACGTTTCCCCCAGCTAGAGGGGTCTTCATATTAATTAACTAATAGATCCACTCTGCCAGGACGACTGTAAACGTTCCTTGGATTTTCAGGGACCAAGATTGGGAGAAACGCGCAAGAAAGACTGGGTTGAAAGAACGGACACGAATGGCCGATGATGGAGCATGATCTCTTCCGCGAGGTTCGCTCCAAAAGGACGCTCTTAAAGGAATCAGTCTTGAGAAAGAAAAACGAGAACGACGAAGTGGACGCGTAACTGGGACCGAAGCTTACGTAGTTGGGTAAAATGGAGAAATGAAATGGGAAAGTGAGTCGCTTCCACTAGAGAGATATCAGAGAAGTATTCGCATTTATATATACAAGAGGACGTAGGTCTGTCGGAGAGACTCCATGTCGTCCATGTGGGGGGAATCGACGCGCCGAAATTGAAAATCGCTTTTCAAGACCATTTCCTCCCCCTACTAGCGAGACCGCGGAAACGATACACCCAAGATATAAAAACCAGCGTACTAGAGTGCGATTATCTAAACTGCGACCTCGAATCGAAGCATCGGTAACCACTAAACACGCGTCGGCGAGACCGACGGTAAGAAAAGACCTCTACAGGTTCTTTTGCGCTAAATTTTGTACAACCCCAGCCTCGGTTCCCTGATCTTGAAAAGCAGACCAGTCGGCATTGCCCATTCGCAAGGGCAACCCGAGTTAACGAACAAGCGCCAGGATGGAATCGTCGAGGCCCGTCAAAAGGAGATCCACGGTTTCGGCATCACGGTCGACAAGGACGAAGGACCTGGGCAGATATTTTCCCCCGTCTCTTCGGCAAATGCGCCAGGACACGGGTTTCTATCATTCATTCCAGCCTGCCGAGGTCCTTCGAACGGGTCTGGGTGTTTCATTGATTTGGGAAACAGGGTGGCTCGGGTCCGACGTCGCCTCGAGACGAAGAGGATCCAAGTCGGATCCTTTGAACCCTTCGTCCTGACGAGGACGAGTCGGGCCTTTGGACGAAAGGGGCCAAGTCGAGCAATTAATCCCGAGATCGAGACCAACGTCAGGTCGCGTCGGCAAGGCAGTGCTCTCTCTGAAATTGCTCGGCATTGCTCCTGGCAGGTTGCATGGACGAGGTGTGTCCTGGAGGTCGAGGAGCCTTCGGGAGACTTCGTCCTTGTCGCCGCCACCTGTCGGTGTCACATCCTGAGGGATGCCCGTCGAGCAGGCAACGCGCGAGGTCGTCGTCGAGTGATCCTTTCCCCTCGACTATGGACAGCCTTATCAAGGACTCGTGATATCGAGGATCCGCTCCTTCGGTGTGGCATCTACTCGGGGTCGATCGAGGACTCCTCTCGCATCGTAGGCTTCGCTTCCACGAACGATTTATAGTCTAGTACGCCGGAAGAATATCTAGACGGCCGAATCCTTGCCGACGAATCCTGTCTTCGAGATGGACCTCTTCCCGTCGAAGTTGACGGATATCTCGTGCCTCAGCCCGGTGTCGATGATCGGCGGGATCTTCTTCTCCTCCTTCAGCGGCTCCTTCTCGTCTCTGGAAGATCGAAAGTATTTTTTCTTTCTTTTATTATTTCAAATGGTCTCGAGGACTTCTCGCTCTTCCTCCGCGCTTCCCTTAACTGCAGGTGCAACATCGAATGCGTGGGGCATGCCAACAAACATCAGAAAGTGACTCGAGACGGGAAAATTAAATACTCGTTGCAAAATACTACTGCGATGCCTCCAAATGAAAAATTCAAAGTCAATCGATCTGGACATTGTTACCGATTTTAACGTCATTTTTTAACGCTACTTCAAATCCCTGTAAGTGGAAAATCTTGCGATCGTCGTTCGGATTTGATACATCCTTGTTGAATCATTTCGGTTCCAAGGCAAACTACCTAGAGTATAAAGTACCTACGAATCGGATGGTAAGGTAAAAGAAAAATTGAAAAACGAGGATAATTATGGGGGAAAGAAAAGTCTACAAAACTGGCGGCTGGGAGGCGAGATTTTGCCGAGAATTAAGCTTCCTTGGAAATGCGACTCGTGGCTAAAACTATTACCTAAAAGGCAGGTGTACGTACGTAGGTTCGATTGTATGCACTAGGATGCACTGATTACTTCTCCGATAGAGATGCACCCGGTCTGGGAGATGCGATCGCATTACTATTCGCCGTTTTATCCGACACTTTACTTTTACCTTCCCAACTTCGTCAATGTGGAGCAGGTGCTCCTTCTTCCCGATCTCATAGAACTTTCCCAATTTGGTTAAAAGCCCAGAGTTACTCCGATCGATCCTTGAATTCTTTTCAAGCCGAGCACCTGAGACTGCAGCAAAGATGCGTCTTTCGCCGGCACTTAACTCTTTCGATAAGTTTCACTTAACGCGATCAATTTCCCAGATTTTCTGGACTCTCCCATTTACTTCCGGGTGCAGCTCAAGGTGGAGGAAAATTAAACCCGACCCGAGATAGCACTATATACCATATTCCGAATATATAAAAACCCATACACAAATAATAGATAATTTCCTGCCACGCAGGGGTAATAATTAGTAATCAGCTCGTAACCTGGCAAGGTCATTAAATTATTTAAGTCGAGAATATCCCTTATAATCCGTGTAAGCGCCTAACAATGAAAATGCACTAACAATGAAAGCAGGGTGAAATTAATTTTCCTGGCACAAGCTCGCGCTATAAATGGCCATTAAGAAACCCTTTCAGCTCGCCTTCGTGAATAGAAATAAGCAACAAGTGGAAACCGCTTTACTGCTCGACAGGTACCACAAATAGTGGTGCCACCGAAGGTACGAAAAGGGGACTGAAAAATTAAGAGATTCGGAAGTCTAACTTCACTTCCGCGCCGTAAAGTCGCGTTTGAGAGTGTTTAAAAAAAATTCAAATTTAATTTCAATTTAATTTACGTCTCATCTAAATCCATGGCACAGTGCTATCTCGCGTCCTTCCAATCGGCAAGCTCGAATCGATCGATCATGCAAAACATCGCCAAAGCTCGAGCGATCGTAATGACAGTCGCCAGGTGAGCCGAGTGAGAAAGGTAACGAAGCTTAGAAGAGAAAAATGGTTGGCGGCACACAGAAGGCGAGCAACTCTTCCATGCTTTGAATCCTCTCTTTCTCTAGTTCCTCCGATTTTTCCTGAATAATTTTGGAGAGCTTTTAATTTCCCTCTGAACCGCCTCCGACTACGAGAAGCTGCCTCGAGGAGAAGGCAGATTAAAAAAAGAAGGAAGAGGAAGAAAGAGAGGAATCTTCGTGCCAAGTAGAGAAAGCCGTGTAGATCGTAGAGTTCTTCTTTTAAGGCGAACCATGCTTCTTATTGGTTTGTTCTTCAATTCTTACATGGCAGTGTGTTTGACCAATCTAATGGTACTTTTTCCACTACCCGAGTCTTGGATGGCTGTCACCCCGGCGACATTGGCCATTTTTTGGTCGCAATACGGCAATGGAAACCGCCAACCGTAAAGACTATCGCACAAGAAACAAAAGAGATACCAAGGGATGAGAGCCTTTCCTCTCTCGGGGCGAGGGTGGCATTTTTCACATTTTTTTTTTTTCTCTCCATTTTCCAACTCGATTTAGACTTCGCTTAGCCTATCGACTAACGAGTGCTTACCAATTGTCTAGGAGTCACTCTTCTCTACAATTTTCGAGCCACCTCTAGACAAATCCTGAAACCCTCAAACGTTCTCAGGATTTGTCTATCAGCACCTTAACAATGTACACGGTATCCCGGAAGTCGAGTTTCATGAAATAATGGAGCATTACCTGATTACGTACCGTCAGGTGGAAATTAATCAGACGATGTAACGGTTACGATGGAAAAGAATCCGTGGAAAAATTTTTTTCGATCATCTTATCGCTTATAATTGATTAAAAAAAAAAAATGGTCATTGGCTCTGTGTAAGACTTGCGGATTCAATTTTGTGAAATTCACCGATTGACCGAGGTTGCAATTAATGTCAACTGCCAAATCACGGGAAATCGGGAATCGTGTAAGGGGAAAGAGACCGTGTTTCAAGACGTGTGAATAGTGCGAAGTTTGATGACATGATGTAGCGCCAGACTTGCCAAAGCACAATATCGGTGTAAAGACGTCGTCCGACTAAATAGCCAGAGGAAGGGTTCCCCGATGGTACTATTAATGTGAAACTCGGGAAAACTTCGAATCCACGACTCACCTGCCCAATTTAGCGTCGTCCTCGTCCATGGGTTTTCGACGCGACCGCTCGCAGACGTAGTAAATAATTCCTGAAAAAAAGGAAAGTAAAAAAAGGATTACTCGTGAGATTCGGTAAAAACGTTTGCAAACCGTTCACGAGAATGAACTCCACAAGAAGGGGGTAATTAACCCCCTCAAAGCCGGCAAAATGGTTCGGACGTTCTCGAAACGAATTAACTCGTCCGTGGCCCTAAAAGGGCTATCTAATTAACCTTCCACACTGGGTAAAGTCGAGAGACATGTACCAGAGGTCCTCTTACGACAATTTCCGAGGGTAGAGAATTTTTTTTCATTAAAAAAGTTATTACTCTCAAAGTAACGCCGTAAGAGCCCTTAATGTCGAGTCCCCCATTTAATTGGCCCAGAACGCGCGGTTCGGTTGACAATTATTTTTTAATTGTAATCTCTTACCTGTCTTGTGGGCGCAGCAGCAGATGATGTCGATGATGACGATGATGATGAAGAGAATCGCGATGACGATCCCGATTATGGCCGCGCTAGAGATAAGCGGCCCCTCGTGGTGCATCACCATGGAGTCGGTACCTTAAAGAATAATTAGCAAAGAATTAGTGGGACAAAATCCCACGTGATTAACCCTCCTCCGTTAGTGCACAAGCAGTATAAACGATGTTTGGTGATGGAAGCTACGGAAGGTCGTCGGGATTACATTTAACGGAAGATCTCATCAGCAGAGAGAAAACGTACTGGTACCTCGTATCAAAAGCTTATCGACTCCAAGTGTTTCTCGTTCGAGAAAATTCGTGCCCGAATTCGCCGAGAGCAGTCACGACAAGTGAAGGGAAAAGACCCAGAAAAAGGAAGAACGCGCCGACGAAACGACGACCCCCATAAACCATATTTCTGAATATTTCATGGGGTACCAAAATGGCCGCCGTGCGCCTCGACATCACCAAACACGTTTCTCGCGCCTCTCCGTTTTTTAGTCCCCGAAGGTAGGAGGCGTACAGGCTGAAAATCCGTCTTTATCAAAGCAAAAACCAAACCAAAAGGGGTTACAGACGCGGCTCGAATTAATAGATATCTCGCCAAAACTCCACAGAAGCGCCGCCTCGAAAGCAAAGAAGACCAGCAGGAAGCAGCAAAGACCGGAGTGCCAAAAAAGCCCATTTTCTCTCTCATTCACTCGATCCTCCAAATACCTCCCCTCTCGGTTAGTCAACGCTTAACTACTCTACGGTGTAGCTCGGATTATCGATTAATAAATTATGTGCCCCTCTGCCGCTTGCAAAATACCAACTACTCCTTCCTCTCTACATATTTACCATTTCTGGCCCTCTCGCGTCGATTCCCACAGGAGATAAGCAGCCAAGCAAAAAAAACTCGATTCGGCCGCAAAAGAAACCATCTCAAATTGCAGTGTGTCGTATGCAATGCATCGCACATATCTGCCCCCCCCTCCCGGACTTTAAATATTTAACATCAATCACGGACGGACCGTCCTGGATACCCAATAAATTCCGTAGGAAAAATTTGCCAAAAAATTGCGGAAACGATACCCAAAAAAAAAATAAAATAAAATAAAATTGACAATTAACGCTAATCCGCACAATTTGAAATGGGCTTCTCCGCAGGCGCGCGTCTTCCTTCGTCGCTCACAACATTATATTTCTGTATCGATTATGTACAATGTGTTTCACAGAAAAAAAAAAAGAAGACTATGTACCCTCATCATAAATACGTGTACGCTAGGCGTGTTGTACACAGCTATGGTGTTATATCTATATGTATATGTACGTATATGTATGTCTGTACATGTATCAGCGAGTATACATAGACGCGTATATAGTGTACCGTATTACATATTTACTCTAGAAAATATCGCCGATCAGGGTCTAAAGGAAGGAACGCATGCCAGTCGTGCATTTTCGATTTCTCGTCCGCCTCGATTTTTCGGACGCGCGATGGCGGCGGAAATAAAGCACGAGGGCCTCGAAAACGGTGAATAAAAATAAAACGGGGGGAATAAAACACGGAGGAGGGGGCGGCACGTAAATCCGCGTTTCGGAGGACGTTCCCTCGTAAAGTTTACTCCGGGAGCAACAAATGACGCTACGTGAGCGACACGTGACACGCTGCAGCGTTTGTTACGACTGCAATAAACGCCGCACATGCGAGCCTCGTAATCGGCTGGATTTGTCGATGGTTGTTGGGATCGAAATAACGAAAAAAAAAAGAAAAGAATGAAAAATGGCGCCGATTATGGAATTAACGTGGAAGAATTCGCGAGGACTTCTCTCGAGGTTCCTGGGCGTAAAAAATTTTATGCCACCCCTCGACAGGGCAGGAAGAAGATGTCTCGTAAAAGTCGTCTCCCGCCCTACCGATCCCTCCCCTTTATGCGCCGGATAAGACTGCATAAGAAAATATATCCCCGTTGTCTTCCCTGGATGTGACGAAGGACGCGGGAAACACCGGAAGACGAGATGTCTTTTTCGAAGGGCCCTTTTTATGCGCCGCCCATTGTCGGGAGCTCTTGGAGGCGCGAAAAAGAAATACCAAAGGGAAACATCCCGAGCAAACATCCATTTTTCCGATGTCGCAAGACCGCTGCGCCACCCCCTCGATAAACCGCAATGAGACTCAATAGTTCTCGGGCGCCTTTGATAAGAGGAGACGAAAGCGGTTAAAAGAAAAAGAGGTTTTCACGATTATCTCAAAAATCTCATCAAATTATCTCTCACGGTGGTATGTTTAAAAAGTACCCACTATGGACATTTATTCAATATTTCTCGCCCTAGTTATCTTTCTCTTTCGCCAGACAAGCACTATGATTAAAAAGAGGGAATTTAAAATGTGGAATTATAAAAAAAAAAAATGCGATTATGACGAAAATCTTATGAAATTGTTTTCCGAGGGGGATTTCATTTAATGAGATGTCTCGTTAGTAAGTGTTTGGTTTTGCTGATTGATATCGAATTTTCCGCTTTCATCTCCTTTGAGCTTTATCGTTTCGCGGTCGCTTTTGGTCTCACCTGCAAGTGAGTTCGCGAGGCGCGAGAAAAGAGACATGTCAAGAGTCGGACAGGAGTAAGGACGCGTGTCTATGTACAAATGTACGTGGCAATGAATCTGCTCGTCCATCGAATCCTTTCGGGCGGCCGCAAATCTGTCCAGGGTACACGAGAATCGATATCCGCCCTGGGGTGAGGCTCGAATTTCCAAAGTGGAGGTGTCCGGGATACCCCTTGTTCTCGTCCTCGTGAAATACGAACCGCCCTAATCGCGATTATCGATCAGACCCTGAAGTACATCGAGGGGCATGACACGCGGGAATGACCGTGTACTCATCTAAGAAATGATGGCTTCCCCTGGGAATCGCGAGAGACATCGACAGAGACTGCATAATGGAACAATGCAAACTGCAATCGGGACCACCGAGCTGATAAGGGCGCGCCAAACTGCGAATAAAAATAATTAAAAAAAAAAAAACAATTCCGAGTAAAATTGCAAGCTCAATAGTCAGAGGGTGGAAATTGAATTTAAATGAGATTGTATTCAAAGGAAAACTATGCATTATTTTAGGCATCACTTTCGCCCAAGGAAATCCCTAGATGATTTTTTAGGGGATTTTAATGGCAGTTTAATAATGGCAGAAAGGGTTTTCTCGTGAAAATTGTAAGTTTTAGTAACGATGTTTCGAGACCCCGGGGTGAAGTCATTATTTCCTACGGTACTTACGACTCGATAACGATAATAATGAAGCTCATGCCATGCGAGGTAGCGAAAGCGCCAATGGAGGGCGGACAAAAAGATGTGAAAATCAAACCTTGTCTCGAATCGTATCGTTATCACGAGCCAAGCGACGTTAACGAAAACTCGGGTCGACGAGACGAACAGAGAAGGACAATGATCGTAACCAGCGAACAATGACTAAACGTAAGATTAAAACGAGGCTAAAATAATCGTACCAGGTCAGAACGCTTAATTGTTAACTAAAAAAGAGAAATGCGATGCTTCCGAAACACGCCGACGCAAGGACTAACGCTAATAGTACGTAAATAAAGTACGTCAACTAACCTAGCGATAATAATTAATAATATAATTAGTCATAACAATAATGGCGTCACTAATCATAAGAATGGTAATGACAATAATCGCAATTCACAGATCATGCGCACTAAGACACGTATTTATAACACTAACCAAGCAGAAACTAATGACTGATAAAAAATGTGACAAAAAAAAAGGAATCCAGAAAAACAATTAAAGACACTTGATAGTGATGCGAAGGTGAGAAAGACGCGATATAAAGAAGTGTAACGAATGTATGTTGAGTTAGTGGGGGAAAAAAAAAAAAGGAAAATAAAACATGTCCTGAAGGAAAGTCATTATGCAGTTTCTTCCGTCCATGGTGGGGTTCGAACCGATCGTCACGATCGATCGATCGATCCACGGATCGCTTTAATAAGGTGTAACGATCTATCGGAGATCCGTGGATAGATCATATCGGTGAAATCTCTTTGGTTTGCAGGAAAACATGGACGGAGAGCTTTTGGCATTTCCCTCTCCCTGTTGTGATTTTTATTCCTTTCACTCGTTATCGTGTCGCTATCCTAGGAAAAAAAGAATATGGCCTGCTAACTGCACGTCGAGATGGCTCGCGGAAGGGGAAACCTAGATGCGAAGGGAATGAGAGAGAGAGAAAAAAAAAAGAAGAGGTACAAGAGAGGGACGAACAATGCGGAGATCCGAGCATGGCGGACACACGGTTGCGTTGTTTCGATAAAAACGGATTTTTATCTCTTTCTTTTTTTTTTTTTGCCGAGCAGAGGACGCTTCCGCGCCTGCGCCGTTGCGGAAACAAGGCAGGGGTCTCTCATTGAGCCCTTGCATTTTGAGATTCCCTTTTTTTTTCGACACTCCTCCCCGATGAAAGGGACTTTTCTTTCCACCCCCTCTTCCTTTCTCGACAATTCTCGCGAGCTGCTTTCGGCTTTTGCCGAGCAAGAGTCGTTATCGCGGAAGCAATGGCGATTTTCGCGCTTTCTAGCCCCGCCGTTTTCTTCGCGGAAGGGAAATATGATTCTCTAAAAATATCTCTCTCCTCGTTGTCCCGGGAAACTGCACCGCCATGTTATTTAATGCACCCTCTCTGTTCGGGCTTCGCGTATCTCGCGGTGAGCTTAACTCCGGGTTTTAACGAATTCATTTACGAAATGCACTTCCGCGAGAGCAGGGACAAATGCGAAAGAATGGGAGGGAATAAAAGAATTGGCGAAATTAAATTAGACTTAGTCGGAATTTTTTCACGGTGCGTATCTGCACTGCGGATATTCCTCTATCAATTTATCCCTGCAGGCCGAGATTTCTTCGTGAACGAGCTCGTCCCGTTATCGGAGTCATTTTAATCTCCCGAGGACGTTAATCGTATTCCTTCCCGATTTTTATCCTGATTTTGCCTCAGTTAAGTATTTGGCAATTTAAGGCAGGACACGTTTTAGGCTTAGAGTACAACGGTGCACCGAAGATATCCTGTCGCGCGAAGATGCATCAGGGATGCTGCAGCCTCGATTTGAAGGTCCTAAAAAAAAAAAATGGGGCAAAAGAGGGACTCATCAGGACTTTGATAAATCACTCGCCGATATTTTTTCTCTGATTCCTTTCGCAGGAAAGATTGCACTTTTTTTATCCGCAGCGTCCTAGATGCATCTTTCTCTCGATCCGAATCTTCCGCTCTTTCCTTCGCGCTTATCGTCATTCCCTCTTCGAGCAGCTTAAACGTACCAGTACGTTTTCAACCGTGAATACTGAAAATTAACAATGATTTAGCAAGGCCTCCGACTTCGAGATGTGGCTCTTCCGGGCTTCCTTCCTCTCATCGGACTCATCTCTTAATCACCTCCCTATCGCCACTAACATAGATTCACTTTCCTCCACGTATCTCAAATACTCCTCGGAATGTAGCGCTTCGATCTAATTATCCTAGTTTTAATCGATTAAACATTAATCGTGCTATTAGCGCTCGACAGATGCACTCGGCAGGCACTTGCGAAATCCGCAAAAATCGGAGCTGCCGGGTTTCCTCGAAAAATGCTCGTCCTCCTCAACAAGATCGGCCGCGGATCTCGATCACTTTCTGTCAACGCAAAAAAAAAAAAAAATCGGCAAAATAATAAACACCCGTTAAAAAATTATCCTAACAAATTCAGTATCAGCACAGCACCTTTACAGCACTTCGTTTGTATGTTCCCTATTTAAACAAGGTTTTGGCATCATTTGTATGGCACTGTAAATGGCAGTAAAATCTATAGCGCACCTCCGTTCATCCGAAATGAAGTGTCGAATTAAACCTATTTTTTGTTATCAATGGTAAGAGAAAAGGTCGGGGTTAAAAGTAAAAACGTCCGCGACCGATCTAGACGAGCACTCTTCGGAAACCGATCCATGGAGCCATTGATCTCGCCCGATCCACGCGTCGATTAACAAAGACAATCGATTCCTCGTACGACCCACGTGGTCTCTTGTACTCTGTCAAGGGTGAGTTCCTTAATGTCCGTTCACACCCGGGGAAATAGCAATTGTAAATGGCGAGTCCCCTTGTCAAAGCTAGACATTTACGAATAGGATCGTCATCGCTGAAGTAAAGGCGATCACGGCAAGCTTGGAAGTCTCTCCACCGGATATTATCGAGTAGTCCACGGTGACTCCGGTCGATTCTGAATGATAAAAATTCACTCTTGTAACAGTGGAAATCCTGATATGGGGTCAGTAAATAAATCAAGGATATGTATCATCCTCGTAGGCTCCGGAGATTGAAAACTAAGGATCGCTCTCTCGAGAGAGACCCGAAGTCCTGAGCTAAACTCCAATAGCTAGGCTTGTTACAACATCGAATAATTAATAATGAAGAATCTGAAGTACTTATAGCGAAGGAAACTTACCTGTGGCAGTCTTGAACTGCGTGACCCCCGCTGGACCATAACCTAGGGCATTGTGCGCCCTGACCTCGGCCATGTAAAAGGTGTCCGAATCGAGATACTTCAGCCAGTGCTGCGACCTCTGTCCCTTGGTGTCCTCGGTTTTGCAGGTATTTTCGAGGACCTCCCACTTATCGGCGACGTGATTCATCTGGCAGTAGCGGATCTGATACAAGTCGATAGGCTCTCCGTTATCAGGAGGAATGGTCCACATCAGCTGGTACTGATTGTGGTAGTTGACGCTGTCGTACTCCTGCCCAGACGGAGGCTTCGAGGTCATTATCGGCTCGCTGGGAACGGTCCTCCTAGGTGTACTCTCCTTCAGGTAATTACCCCAATTACCAAAGCCCACTTCGTTCCTGGCCTTGAACCGGAAGTCGTAATAAGTCTGCGGCTGCAGACCCTCCAGGATGTACGGGGAGCCTGTAAGGTAACCCCGGATTAGCCTCCGTTTTTCCTTTACAAATTATCTCTACACCTCGGATACATACCCACGGCCCAGGTCTTGTTCCTGGCATTCGTCCAGGCGTGCGCCTGCTCCTTGTACTGGACGGTCAGAGTCTTGATGGGCAGACCTTCCTGCGTGGGCGGAGGCACCAGGTTGAACGCGATGGTCGTTGCCGTGATGTCCACGATTTTCGCTTGCAACAATTCCCCAGGTTTGTTGGCCTCCCTCAATTCGATCATATGCGATCGCGTCCCGTGGAGGTTGGAAGCGGTGCACTTGTAATGGGCGTAGTATCTCTTATCGATGGGCACCACCACGAGCGTGGAGATAGGGCCTTTCCCGATTTTCTTGAACGCTGGATTGTTGTCTATCTTCTGGTCCCCGTTCATGGTCCACTCTATGGTGGCGTTGGGGATGCTCTCGGCTATGCAGGTGAGGTTCACCGGCCTCTGCTCCCAGGACCAGACCGTGTTGTTGGGCATGGACGCGAACGAAGGTGGGAACTCCACGGCCAGGTGGACGTTTTTATGAGCTGGGCCTCCCTTGTTGCTGGCTATGCACTCGTACAGACCGTCGTCGGACCTCCTGGCGTTGTTGATGGTCAGGGTACCCACCGTCTCGCTGTTCATGTCGTCCGCCTGGTTGGTCAGGATGATTCTGTCGTCCGATTTCTGAATTCCTTCCGTGTAGGGGTCCTTCATGGTGTGCTTCCTGAAGGAGATCACCGGAGGTGGCTGGCCGAAGGCCTTACATTGCAGCTCCACCGTGTTCCCTTCGGCGATGGTCTTGTTCGTGAACTCCATGATCTTGGGCTTCACTACCACGTACACCTGGATGTTCGTCGTCGCTCTGCCGGCTCCGTTCGACGCTACGCATTGGTACTCCCCCACGTCTTCGCGTTTCACGTTGTTGATGAACAAGGTCCCGGTGTCTTCGTTCACCTCGAACCGGTCGGCCTTGGATAGGTCCTGCTGGGTCACCGATTTTACCCACATGAACTTTGGCGGAGGCTTTCCTTTGGCCTTGCAGGTGATGCCTTTGCTCTCGCCCTCGGTCATCTCCACCGGGGAGTTCAGCTCCTCGATTTCCGGCCTCGTGTAGACCTAAAGGGAATGCAACGTACTCGTGAAAGGTACTTATATCTCTTAATAAAAAAAATCCTGCAGTGCTCGGGTCGCTAACTACACCCTAAAATCTCAACTCCAGGGTATGACTTTTCGTGTATGATCTACTAACTAGAATCCAAGGTCTTGTATTTGATTTTTATTAAATATAGAAAATACCTCCACGCGGATGGCTCGTTCTTGGAGTTCACCAGTCGTGGTGACCGATGCTCGACACGTGTAGACCCCGTCGTCGGATTCCTGGACGTTCTTGATCTTCAGGGCATGGGTGTCGATGATGTAGTGCTCGTTGGTCTTGATCAGCTCCCCGTTGAAGAGCCAATCCACCGAGGGTGATGGTTGGGCACGAACTTTGCATTTGATCGAGTAATCTTCTCCGAGGATCGGGAATTGTTCTTCCGGTGCGTCTTCCCAGGTGATCGCAACTGGGAAAAAAAATGCGTCAGGCTATTCTTCACCTCTTACGATTTTTATTATACGCGTAATTGCTCGACCATTATTCCCTCGTTCAACGACCACCCTCCCGGCAAAATGTAAGCAACGTCTCTTGACAAATGCCCATTTACATTCTGTTGGCGGACGGGTCGATCGTCGAGCGAACTCGAATTACTCCCGGAATTACTAACTGAAGCTTAATTAGTTTGCCGAGCTGTAAGTTGACTAATCAGGAGCATGAAATTCGCAAATTGTTCATTTAGTCCGACTTAAGCGTCCATTCAACCTTCGCCCGATGCGGCCCCCTTGAAGAGCCATAACTCGGCAGAATTTCCGAAATTGATGGAATTTGCTGCAATTTAGGAAATTCAGGGACATCGCCGAAATTCCAAAACTTGGGAATCTGGTGCCAGGACGTGCCGATTCGAGGAATCGCTTATCGTGATTATGAAAATTCGAGAACTCAAAGAGGGGTCCGTTAACTCTTTGGGCGCGGAGCCATTTCGACATATGGGCGAAATTCGTCTGACCGTGCAGGCAAAATTGGACCTAACGTCCGGCGTCTTTAGGCGCTCTTAGTAGCCAAAGGATTAACTCTTCTTAGAAACTCACCTATGGTCTCGATCGTCACGGATTTACTCAGAGCTTCGGTGTTCGCATAATTCGCCCTGCAGGTGTAGCGACCTGCTTGCTCTTCTTGAAGAGAATTAAAGAAAAGCTGAAGACTGGTGCCCTGGTGCATCTCCGTGTACATCGGTGGCTTCGAGTACCCGTAAGCGCTGCAGGGAAATTAAACGTAATAGATAAGACGGGGAAATTCGAAAATGAGGTTCCCAAGTCTCGAAGGTATTTCCCGAAAAAGACTATTTCCTCCACTTTCTGAATTTCTGCATTTTTTATATGATATATTTTTTTTTATGAATTTTAAAACGCACCTTCGAGACATTATTCAATGACAACATTGTACGAGACGACCACAGGTGATAACGACAGGGTGCAGGCGTCGAATTTTTAATCAGTAATGGTGATAAGTGCCACTAACTCTGGGAAGATGTGTGAAAAAGAGTATTCGCTGGAAAACCGTCCACAGATATGAAAAATGTTCGTCCTCGGTGTACGATTTGATGACGCGATGATTTGGGATTTATTAAAAGTGTCCAAAAGTGTGGGGGAATAAAAAAGAGTGAATGAGCGATGAAGATTTGGAGTACAAATCGGGATAAATGAAAGGGCGGGTGCTCCCTTTTTATTTGTTAAAAAAAGGGGAAGCGAATTGAGGAAATCGGGCCTGGGAATAAATAAATGAATAATAAAAGCAAGACTCAGGCGACTTAAAAAAAAAGATTGTTACGTATCTTTTATTTGTTTTATTGCAAAATAGGAGGACGAGTCCGGAATTTTCTCAGGCGGACATTAAATCTCGACATTTTAGACTCGTTAAGGAGCACAAGCAATGCGGTTATTGAGGTACAAAGAGAAATGAAAAAGTGTACGCTAGACCGTACTCCGCTTTACCGCCGCAATCATCTTTACGATGGCACAGCTTCTCGTACGTTTATGTCGTACTTAGCCAATTAACGAGTCACCTTTCAATGTACCTTATCAAACTGCACACGAAGAAGGATCCGCAGAACGGTTAAGGTGATAAAATAAAGTTGACAGAAATTACCAAACCACATTTCTACATTATCAACGTCCACTTAGCGATTCGCGTTCACCTGAAACACTGTTTCGACATCGACCCAAGCGGTGATAGTAGACACGTGATAAGATAATTCGTCGGAAGTGTGTCACGAATGATTCGAGTGGAGCGAAGAAGCGTCTGGAGAATGATAAGAGAATCCCCGAAAGGGGCGGATAAATGTCCAGAAAAAGGGTGAGAAAGCAACGAAAGGAGAAAAAAATTAGCAAAAGCGAATCTTGCACGTGCATCGAGAGAACTTATGCGAAGGAACGAACGGAGGAAGCAGGAGAAGAGAGCTCTTCCCCGAAGAGGCACAAAGAGAGCCTGAAGATCCAAGAGAAGACCCGAAACTCGGAAAAGGGAAGAGCGACCGACTCGCGTAATTGGGACAGCGTGGAAAATAAAAAGGGGGAAAAAAAATATTAGAAGCTGGGAGGAGGATGTGCAGGAAACCGAAGAATGGGGTAAAAAATATGAAACCAGGAGGAAAGGGGAAATATGCAAGATGTACTTCCAAACCCAAATCTCGTGCTACTTTGTTCACTACGTGTTAGTCTGAGAAAATACTCGCCTTTCGAGTGGCCGGACGGCAAGTCTGTGTGCGAATGGAACAAAAAGTTAAGAGATTGTTTATATTAGTGTTAAGGTGTCATTGGTTATAGTCGTGTCGGGTGATTCTCGAAAAGTGCTCCTCAGAATATTCCACGGATAATTTTTTCTCCCTGGCTGGCGAGTTAGAACACTTACTCCCAATTCTTGATTTTCATGTTGAAATCATTCCCACTGGCCTGATAATTTAAATAATCGTTTTCATTTTTTAACCTTGCTTCGCGGGGCTTTCCGAGAAAATCGGGTAGAGGGGGTCGACAAGAACCGCGGGACAGATTTGGCGGGCGGACTCTTATCAGTCCTGAGGAGATATCAAACTGGGGCACTCGGTACTCACCCTTGGGACTCGATGGATCTGTTTTGGGGGTCCAGCCACTGCATGTCGGTGATGAGATTGAGGTCTGCCACATCTTGCGAGGGTTTACACGTCAGGATGATACTGACTCCGATAGGTTTCGTCTGGAGATCTCCGCTGGGAAGGATCTCCAAGGATGCTGCACTAGCCCCTGCTGCAACACGTAAAAAACAATAATTAATAACTACGATATCTCGCGACATCCCGTCTCCCTCGGACCGCGGGAATTATCGGGGAGAAATTTCAAAATTTCCCAAAATCGCCAAAATCGCAAAAATCGCAAAAATTGCCAAAATCGCAAAAATTGCCAAAATCGCCAAAATCGCAAAAATTTACGAGATTCACAGATTTATCGAATTTCCTAATCCACAACTTTTTCTTACAATTTCATAATTCCGTCACTACCGGTCAACCCCGAAAATTTCAAACCACCTCCCCACAATTGCATCTCCTGTCGCGATGCACCTGCAGCTGCACATCCCCGGGTACAACTGAAACTTTCGCCAACTCGCGTAACGTTTATCCCGCAATTGCGAAACGTTAATTATCCTCCGATAGTTTCCGCGGAGGTTTTTCGCGGATTCCGCTTACGTGGCCGCGGCGGCCTCGGCGGAGAGGAGGTCCTCAGGACGTAAATGCACAAAACGGAGATGCACACGCTCGCCTCGCCGGCCATCGTTGCACACTCGATGCGTCGCTGCGTCTCCGTAGATATATATATATATGTATATGTATATGTATATGTATATATATATATTAATAAAACGCGTCACGTCCCATCCCGCGACGCCCGCTAATAACAGGAAGTTCAAATTAAGCCGATTAATTGCCCGGCGACCCCGAACCGCGGAATTGTCGCAAACTAGGAAGCGCCGATACGTGTCCGCTGCGTTTCCCCCGTGCATTTTGCCCCGCATCGCGGTGCATCCCGGAATGCGGCTGCATCGCGCTAGGGAATGCACATTCCGGTGCACTCTCGAACGTTTCCCACGATTTTTTTATTCGCCTCGAAATGTGCGACGAAAAAAATACCGAAGTGCTATCGAGCCTTATATTAATTGTAATTATTTTTTTTTTGGGGGGGAAATATTAAAGATTATTATATTCGGTATGTACAGATTTTTAGATTTGGAGGCCCTTTTTTTCGGTTGGAATTAATTCTTGGTTTTCAAAAATCGCGGAATTTCTGGACCGAGCGGAATTACGTGCCACTTTTTTTTTCGCGCCGACTTCGTTTTACAAGACCTCCCCTCTTGACATGACAAGAGCATCACCTGCTCTCGCTCTTGGGTCGCTGCTGATGCTGGCAGACGTGCCACTCAACGTGATAATTACGTAGGTGGCACTAATCAGGTGGGAGCGGCATAGAAGGCATTTCCGTAATTACAGGTAGACGAGAGGTTCCTCCAATATATTCCGACCTCCGGGAATCGATATTAAAATTAGAGCCGCGAACGCCGAGCGATCGGTCCAATTTTGCAGAAGCTTAAAATCCCCATATCGGAGGAAAAGTCCCGACATCGCGCGTTTCTAAATTATCTTAGGTTATTTTTAAATTGTACCACGATGAGAACAAACCAAATGGATTTTTGAGCGAGGCGAACCGAGCACCTTATATCGTAGACCTTTATTTTATAAATTATTCTAAATATATTCCCAACCAGGTCGGTCTCGGTGTCGCGCAAGTGTCGGAATAAAAATGCCGACGGAAGGTTCGATTTCCTCTTCCGTCGCGAAATAAACATCTCTTCCCGAGAGATTCTTCCCTCCACCCTCGAAAGCTCTCACCCCGTATTCCGAAGTATTTGCACCCCTCGATTTGTTTCTCTCGAGTTTCCCTCAGGCGGTCCCAGGCATCCGAGAGACTCGCGAAATCATCCCATCGACTTTCCATATCTATGGGGTCTGGTTGCGAGGATTTCTGCAAGCTGGCTCGCAAGAAACCCCATAATTGGCTCGAGTTAATCGCGCGTGATTTTATGGGGTGCGACTATACATGGCTCGGTGGTATTCTCAATATGTCGGCGCAGCAAAACACGAAACCACCCCTTCTTTCTTGCCCCTAACGGGGATTAATTCGGGAAATTACGATGGACAATATGGAAAAATCCGTGAACATTCTACAACAGATTGCTTCTTACCGTTACATCTTTACGGGATTAATTATCACAAGTGGAGGGTGAAATGAAGTCGATATATACCTTCGGTAATTGAATTTTCTATGCCCCGTGTCCCCGTCTAAGGAAGTGCCTACCCTTAAATAAATTATTCGCCACTAAACGAGAAGCTCGATTTTCCCTTTCAGCGGTGAATAAACATCTTTCGAGAGGTCCTTATGTCCCACCCCATGACTAATTCAGAAAAACCACCCTCCTAACTTCTCCGCCAAGTAGGACGCTGCAGTGTTAAAGTACCCAAGGGGCAAAACTCCCCCCATGGGGATAAAAAGCGCCCATCATAGCATCTCCACAGTTAACGAACGAATCAACAACCCCCTCTCCCAAAAAGACCAAGCTTCACGATTATCCAATCATCTCCCATCCCCGTAAAATTCAAACCACCAATTTCCCCGGAATGCGACTCGGCAAACGCAATTATGCGATACCCTATGGGGGTTGAATTTTTCGTAGGGTTGTAAGTGCAGCTCGAAGTGCCCGTAATTAAACCATAGTATTCCACAAGAAACGCGATTATCCCTTACAAAGGATCCGAGGAATCTCCTCCTTCCTGGTTCTATAAACATTTTCCGAGACATCCCCCAAACAATCTCCCTCGATTTGTTTCTCCCGATGGGGCGCAAGAGCGTTAAATTTCCCGAGGCGGTCTTCAGGGTCGTATCGACTTTCCAGGACCTCGAAGAGGGTCCTGGAAGGAGCGAGAGAGAAGGGTGTCCAGGACGAAGAAGCCCCGTAATTGGCCGGGGTTCATCATGCCGGTTTTATGGGGTGCCACCCCTGGACATCTTATTTACGTTAGTTAGGGTTTGTTGGCGGAGCCACCCCCCATGGTCGCCCGTTCTATGCACGCGGACGTCGTCGCCAACTTCTTACCCCCCGCGAAGCACGCCCTGACACTTAGGGGTGCGTCCGGACACCCCTCACGAGGGGGTCGACAAACTCGAGGCGTCACTCGACCCGGAAGAATTCGATCTCCCCGAGGGGGAGGATTTGATCAAATTCCGATATCTGATTGGCCGACATGCAGGGCCCTCTGGAACTTGGAATACTTAGGAAATTCCCTCGATCAAAGGAAACATCCTTGCAGGGGGTCGCCCTGTAAAAGTGAGATCCACCCCCTCGAAGAGCAGAAACCTCGAAACAAAAAATTAAAAATCTCCACTGCGGTACTAGAAGATCATTTAATCGCCATTACTCGAAGGGCAGAATCGCAAGTATTAAGAGGAATAAAAATGATAGTAATTTTGGAAATAATTAATTTATACGATTTTAAACAGGGGAATTAATGGGGTAATTGATAAGTATTTTAAGAAGCGTTTCCCTCCAATGGGATGGGATTTTGATAGCGCTCGGGATGTTATTCCTCTGGTAACGTTACGTTCCTCTTATTACCTCATAAGCAGATATTTGATCGGGAGGATCAAAGGGTGGAGGCGAAGGATTTGATGAAATTCCGATACCTGATTGGCCATTTACAGGAGGCGCCAAGGGTGGAGGGAAAGGAGGAACCTTTCCCGATACTTTCGAAATTCCGATGATCAAAGGATTCCTCCGAGAGGAATTACTTCCGATAAACATTCTCGCGTTCCATTATCAATATCGGAGAAGAATTTGAAAAGAAGAGGGGAAGTCTTGCGCGAATTCGGAAACTTTCGAGATCTGATCAAAGGGCGTGTTCATGGAAGGGTAATTACATCAGCGCTTGATGTACAAGAACTGTTATTCCACTTTGAAATTGGGTGAAAATGTGCAGAACGAGATGCATCTTTCCCACGGCGTCCTCTTCTGTCACGTCTAAAAATACAATTTATCGCGCGTTGAGTGAATTAAGGGTAGGAAGTGCAAAACCGCATTACCCCATATACTTTCTTCACGTGCGAACGGCCGCCATTGCATTCGTCCATAAAATTAACATCAATTAACTAAATAGCATTTCCAACGCGTGGACACGTATTAAAGAGTAAACCGAATTTCCCTGAAGCTCGACGACAAAAAATCCCCCCATGAAATTTCTCGGGAGAAATTAATAAATTTCTCCCCAGCCAAAATTCGTAATAAGGAAAATTCAGTTTTTTTACCGAGCCTTGATAAACATTGTCCAGGAATACCGCGCTAATAAAGACCAAGAGGGCGATTACGTCGTCGGGAATATTTTCCGGCATTTCTGCCAATTTTAAGAGCCGCTCAAAGAAAGGCAGGAATTCCGGGGGTGGAATTTCCTGCCGCTCTTCCACGATTAAAGGGCACCGGGAAATCGCGGCCACCCTTGGGTTCTCGTGCCCTGGAAAATTCGCGAGGGTGGGAAGGGGGGCGATTAAGAGTCCCCGAGGGGGCGGAAACGCACCCTCGGGACAAAGGAAAGGATAAGGAGTTCCGAGTTTCGCGGCCGAGCACAAAGGGAGGATTCGGCCTCTTCGTTTCTCAAAGTGCTCCCTGAAATATCGCGACAAATAATTCGACCATTCATCCCCGTCGACCAGAGGACTCGTATAAATTCAATGAAGAGTATGAAAGAATTTGAGGAATTTTACGAATGCGAGGATTTTCAGGAATTACCAATTTTACGAATTTTACGAATGCGAGGATTTTCAGGAATGACCAATTTTACGAATTTTACGAATGCGAGGATTTTCCCCGATCTGGGGTAATACACGTGACACGGTAAAGGGAACCACATTCCGATTGTACAATTACAATTTACCTAATGACACGTCAGAGATTCGAACGTACAATGATAGTTTCGGTTGCATAATGCATATTGCAATTATCTAGGGTATCCGCCGAGAACTTCCCTGCATTCCGTTATCACTGTCATGTCGTTTTAATCACTACCCCAGCCTCCCCACCCCTGCATAACCGATATACATATATAATACATAAAAATCATCCACTCTACGATCCAGCTTCGAAACATTGAAACGTCACGATATCGCGTATCAGGAAATCTCGGAAGGGATTATCGAAAATGGTGACTCGT